AGAGATACTGTGAAATTTTTCCCATTTAGGGGTGTGGTTTTTTTAATTTTTATTATTGTGATTTGTTGTCTTCTGTCATTGAACATTCTACTTCGAAATGATCTTAATCTTTTTATTAACACTTTTTTTTTTCTTTTTAAGAATATTGGGACTTGATGAATTCATCTGAAAAGTATGACAAGATTCCAGAGATATGGCAAGGCCACAATATCCTTGATTACATTGATCCAGATATAATGAAAGTGAGTTTGCTGTCATTCTTTTCACCCTTTTTTACCTTTGTTATTTTCTCTAAGTTATAATATTCTTAGGATAGGAAGGAAATAGACTGAATTCTCAATTTACAGCATTTTTATGTAATGACAAGCCCCATCCTTATTTCTGGCTGGTCCTTAAGAAGAAGTTGTGAGTGCAGACAACAGATTCTTGGGCAGTTGGGTTCATCTGGTTTGCTGGTGTGCCAGAATCATGGCAAATGCAGAGAGAGAAGGTTTTCTGAGGTTGTGTTGCCAGAAGTGGCACAGTTACATTGAGGATTGTAAGTCTAAGATTTGGTGAGCATCCCGATTTTCATTTAATCTCTTCTAAGAAACTGGAAGAATTAGAGAAAGAAGAAGAGCTGAGAGAAGCTGCTGGGGAGTATGACAGCGAACCAGAAAGTGAAGATGAAGAGATGATGGAAATCCGACAGCTGGCAAAACAGATCCGAGAAAAAAAGAAACTGAAAATCCTGCAGTCAAAGGAAAAAGACACTCGAGGCCCAAGGATGCCCAGAACAGCTAAAAAGGTGAGTAAAGAACCCTGTGGTTGCTGATGCATAGTAAGTGTGTAGGAATGTGTAGAAATTTGGGGTACTGGCACTGATGTTTTTCTCATGTTTGACCCTCTGCCTCACAGTTTGCACTTCTGTGCTCCTTACAGCTCTGATAACTAAATTATGGGGGGGGGCCGAACAAAATGAAACAAGTGAGACTTGCCTTTTTTATTCCTGTTATACAAGTGAGTCTATTGTATGATTCTGTATATATTACAGAAAAACTCTTTAGAACATAACTCAGCTTGTTTAATTGGGTTGCCTTTTTTGTTGGTTTTTTTGTTTGTTTGTTTGTTTGTTTTTAATACATTAAGACAAAGATGGAAACATCATTCTTTAGAAGAAACACACACAATCTCCTAATTCTTTTTCCAGGTGCAGCGGAAGGTGCTAGAGAAAGAAATGACTGATCTTGGACTTGACATGACTAATAAAGATGATGTAAGTTTCTGCTAATTTAACACTGTGTTCATCTGAAGGAGATCAGTTCCACTCCATTTTTTTCAAGGACACTTGAATTGCACATTGCAGTTGGCATGAGAGAGAGATGGGATATGCTCAGAAGAAAATAGGAGGCTGTTGATACTGGTATTTTTTTTGAGTGCTGGCTGAAAACTTGCTAATGTTTGAATAGAGTCACTGCTGTATATACACACTGCATTCTATTACCAGTTGTTTGCAATTTGTGTAGGATTCAAGAATAGGATTTGGCTGAACGATTTTCATGATTGCTTTGTGAGACACAACTGTGTCAGAATTAGCAATAATGACAGATGGAGCTGATCCTTTTACAGTTCATTAATGCCGTGACTTATAACTGAAGTTTTGATAGCTTGGCTGGAGTTTTTTTAATGTAAGGCAGTCAAAGTACTTTGAACCTTTGGGAGCCATTTTGTTTTATCATAAATTTTAAGAACTCCATTTTGTACAGCAAATCCAGCACTAATATGGCTGTGTGAAGCTTGAGACCTTGAATTCGTTAACTGAACAAGGGCTTTGGAAACAAGGAATGTCAACATTGCACATCTGAAATAAGCATTCGTGCTTCTCAGGGCTGATATGCCGTGTTGATTCAGTTGCTGTCTCCGTGCAGAGGAATTTGATGTTTATGCTGTACACTGATAGTTCTTTGGGGTTTTGTCCTGTAAACAGCCACTAATCAGAGCAGGTTTTGTCACTGCTTTTTTGCTGTTGCAGAACTGCTTTAGTATTGCTAGTCATTCCTTTGTGGGTTTTTGTTTTTTAATCCTTTACTTATGGATGAAGTGGCAAAAAAAGGGTTTATAAAACTGGAGTTAATTTTGAAAAGGTTATAATAGTATTCACTAGGACTTGAATATTCCTGTGAGACAATGACCGACAGTTGGTAAGATACGATACTGTGGAATAACTGTGCAACTTCACATCTTTTTGTCTTTCAGTATCCAAAAGAACCATTTGTCCTTTGACAATGTACTGTAGCATTTCACTTCCTGTTGTGTTTTTTTTCCTATTGGTCTCATTAGAGATGGAGTATCTGAGCTGATTGTTTCTGTTGTTAATAACCCAAGTACTGTTCTGGATTTCAGGCCCATTATGCCAGAAGGTCTCGGAGTGTTACAAGGAAACGTAAACGTGACGAGTCTGAAACCCCTCAGTCTGTGGCACGCAGTCGCAGCTCCTCTCGTCCACCACGGGATGTCTCTGGTCTGCGTGATGAAAAGGTTTGTTGGAGTTAATTACCTCTTACAGCAAATGAAACAGCAGCGCTGTACTTAAACTGGCTTCTGAGAAACTTCGTACTAGGGCTGTTGTGCAGTTGAGAGTTCATCTCTCTTTGCAGCTTCATCTTCTGATCTTCTGAACTCTCTGTTCTTAAAAAAAAAAAAAGCTTAGTTCATTCTTAACTTAAGATGTAATAATACAAAGAAAGCACATTTTGAAATTTTAAGTATGAAGAAAGAAGGATAAAAGCTGTACATACTTCATAATCTACTAGAAGGGCTCTACCCTTATAAGATTGGAGTTTCAGGCATAGGATGATTGCATTTTTAGTGTGTTGGGGAAGAGTTTTGTTTGTTTTTAAGAGAGATTAGTGTCATACTGAAAATGTTATAGATAGCAGATGGTTGCTTACTCGAAGTATTATTTCATGTCCTAGAAAATCCCTAGTGTTTTTTTAAAGGGCAAAGTGAGTTATCTGAGCTACTGAGGAAGTCATTCACCATGTTTGTATGCTTGTTTTTAAATAGATGGTGAAGAAAGTCAAGACTATGGCAAAGAAGGCTCAAAAGAAAATGAATCGCCTGGGCAGGAAAGGAGAGGCAGACAGGCACATCTTTGACACCAAGCCAAAACATCTGCTGGCTGGAAAGAGGAAATCTGGTAAAACACAGAGAAGATGAGCAGAGCTCTAAATTAAAGCATACAGTTACTAAAACTAAGTTCTAGTCCTGGTTTTCCTTTTTGTAATGGAGAATATTAACAAGAGCACACATTTGTATTGTGGGCAAGACAGTTGAAGCTCGGAGGGGGAGAGTTCTGATACAGGAGTTTGGAGTTCTCACAGAGTCAGTAGGATTGTAAGAGACTTATCAATAGCTGTGGCAGAAGCTGTTTCTAAATAGACTTGAAAAATGACTCTTCTAGGTTGAGACAAGGATGGTTAAGTAGAAAAAGCAAAAGCTGTGCACGCAGGTAAAGCAAAATAAGGAATTAATTCACTGCTTCCCATTGGCAGGCCCTTTGCATCAGAGCAGTGCTCCATTACTTACTGGGGCAGACAGATGCTGTAACTCTTAATGCCTTCTCCTATCCTCCAGCAGCTTTCATTGCTGAGAGTGATGCCCTGTAGTATGGGATTTCCCCCCTCCTCTTCCTTTCTCCCCAGCTTCTATTGCTGATCACAAGCTCCTGTGGTATGGATCCTTTGGTTATTTGGGCCCAGTGATCCTGACAGTGTCCTTTCCCCATTTTTTGTGCTTCCTCAGCTTCCGAAGTATCAGGGTAGCGTGAGAAGCAGAGGAACCCTTGATTCAGCTCAGCAATATGTAAACATCGCGTTGTCAACACTGTTCTTCATCACAAATCCAAAATACAGCACTATATGAGCTATTAGTGAAGAAAATTAACACAGCCAGAATCAGCACCGTGGAGTGTTCAGGTGTCAGCTTGCATGTACCAGTGTTACCTTTGTGGATTTCCACTTGTAGTCTGTCCCCCTTTGTGTGATTTGTTAAAAATACTTACTGTGCTGCAAGGAAGTTCAGTATAGGAAAAAAATACTTAGAACTGTTCACAGGATTTTAAGAAGTGTTTGGCCAAACTTTGCTTTTGTCTTTATGCTGTTTCTATGGCAGGCTGTTTGCCCAGCTTTTGCCCCGAGTTGACTATTTGAACTCGTGTTAAAATAAAACCACACCTTGTTCACTCCCAACCATATCACTTCAGTGCTTAGTCAGCATTTTGTTCCCATGTCTAAAAAGAAAAGCCCAGCCCAGGTTTTTAGGTTAACAGTTTTAATAGTCAGCCTCAACAGAACATTTAAAAGTAGTGCAGGTATTTCAAAAGGTATTCAAAAGAGACTACTTAGGTAGTGTAGCTGATGAAACCAAATTCAAGACAGCTGTTACACTGCATTGCTGCATTCCCTCCTCCATTCTTTGCTTCAGGTCAGCATACAAAAGCTTGGCCCTAAAACCTCTCAGTGTAGAACTATGGACAGAACTGGGATAAGCAACAAACTAGAAAAGTTAGATCTACCTTGCCATCAGACAGAAGTAAGGGGAATCAGTATGGAAAATACCCTATTTCATCAAGAAAACACAGAGAACTTAAGAAATCTACGTGGGGTGGCTGTGGCTTAGCTCTTACCCTCTAGTTGATTTTCTAATTAACCAAAATTAAGAGTTTATGTATGCCTATAAATTCTCAATCTTGACTTTTGGAGTTCAGGAGATTTGAGCTTTCCAGGACATTGGGAAGAAATCAGATGTCGCAATAAAAAGTTTGTCTCAAGCTGCCTTTGTTTTCTGTAAGGTGAGGAGGACTTTCCAACGCACATCCCTTCTCCAAGGACAGGCTATGGTCAATAGGTAGTTACCTACCATCTGCATTTAGGGTGATTAAACATTACTTTCTAATTAAGATGTGCAGTATTTGCTCACTAAACAGGCAGGGGATGGTTTAAAAGATAAAAAAAAAAAACTTTTAAAATCAGTGTTTATTATCTAAAGCTGTAACACATCATGTAGCAGTTCAAAGTGAAATTCAGTCCACACAGATGATCCAATTAGTTTTCACATGTACTACACAGCACAGCAACCAGAGATCTGTTCTGCAATTATAACACTCCTGATCACTTTGAATTAATTTTCTTCACAGACTCGTTCTGTCACATCAGTGCAGAACTCACATGGGTTTGTAATTAGCATTCTGGAAGATGTAGTGATATAAAATTGAAAATGCACCTCTCTACTGAAGGAGCTGGACAGGAAGTGCCCACACTCTTACAGCACATGTAAGTGTGCAAGGCGGTGAGAGCAAACTGGGTACACGCAGGCTGAGGGTTCTTTAGCACCACATGAGGTAACAGAAAGATGAATCAAGGGGGTTTCTTATGTTACTGGGATGGAAGAAGAGGTGAAGAGATAGGAAAAACCATTGGCTACAACCATCTGTTCAAAATCTCTTGTTAAACATGCTCCAGGTGGGCCATTTTCCCTGCACTCGAGTCACGAATTACCACACAGACATCACTTCAGCCTTCAGCATCTCTCACTGCAGCTATTACATTCTGTGTATTTTTTCATGATCAACAAATTTGTTCAAGTTAGGTAAGTTATCCCACCACTTAAAAAGAAAGGTCTCTGCAATTAGTTTAAACCAGGGAGTAATCTTGACTTCGTTCCTCGAAGCTTTGTCCAGAAGTTGCTTCAGTTCTTTCTGGGTCACATAGCAGTAGCTCTGGATCTCGTTGGGATCAGGATTCAGCGTTACATCCTTCTGCACAAATAAGATGTAGTCTATCTCATGTTCACCCCAGATCCCATCAGACTTGGCCTTGTAGTGAATTCGTGTCAGATAGAAGATTTCTTCTGGAGTAACCTACAGCCAAAACACACATTAGGACCAGCAGCAAAGCAGAATAACTGAGCTGCTTGGCAGCACACAACAATTACCAGACGCTGCTCTCTTCCTAGGAAATCATTTTTTCGAGTACAATCGCAATGCATTTCTTACAAAAAAATTATGAAAAAAGTTACTATACATTGACCATGTAAACTGCACAGCATTTCTCTAGTTGGGCTTACTCTATAATATTTTGACCAGACTTCTCCAATACAGTAAAGTTCAGATAATATTTACCAGAGCCTAATGTGCACTTAGGAAAGTAGTGATGAACAAACATCTGCAACTGGCCCTTATTCCCCTTATTCTGGCCCACTCCAGAATAACTGAAGAATTCTCCAATTCATCAAATCCTCTGCATTTCTAAAGTTAAATTCAGTTTCAGATTTCAGACCTGCCAGATGTGAAGATTCTTAGTGCTGCTAAGAACCCCCCCTCCTTTCTCCTTCCTTTACCTGCTCCATAGGAATTCCTAACTCTGCTTTCATTCGTCTCTGTGCTGCTCTCCGAACTCCAATGGCATCATTTTCTTCCAGTTCCAGCGGGTGGCTCAGCGGATGGCTACAGCAGGTGTTGGTAAAGCAATCTGAAAGAAGTTTTTATCAGTACACTTTTGACACTGTAAACTGCTACAAAAGCCCTGAGACGTAGAGCAGCCAATTGATGCACCACATTTTTGTTTCTCATTGATAGAGGACAATGAAAGGGAGAACATTTCTATCCCTTCTTTCTATGCATACTTCTGGATTTGTCTCTACCAAATACTCTTTTGTTCTTAACCAGAGGAATTAAAACACTCACTCTTCACATCTACCAAAACAATTTCTCCAATGTCATTAAATGTGTCTTGTGACAGGTGAGTGTATGGTGTTTATCCTTACTATAAACAGGACCAGGCAAGCCAGGGAGCAATAATTTCCCAAGATCACATATAATGATAAGCTAGAGCTCTCATTATGTTGCTTCATCCACAATAAAAGCACATCCCAAGCTCTTAAAAGTATCTCTTCTCAGTAAATCCTGGAACCACTGCAAAGGTTTTAGAACTTTATGTTACATTCTGCAGGAGTTACACTGCAAAATTAGGCTGGCACATCTTAAAACACTGATTTAAAGCAATATATTCCATGTGCAATGTGTTTCAGTACTTACCTGGAAATGTGATTTTAGCATTTGACCTCTGCTGCAGTAACAGTTTATTTTCTGTATTAAATAAGAAAACACTGAACGCTCGGTGCAATAAACCTAAAAAGCAAAAACACAGAAAGGACAAGAATTATATGAAAACGTAAGGCTTGGAATTGCCCAACTTACTGGTAAACTAAATTCAAAACAATTCAAGTGATTTAATTCAACAATTAAAAGCAAGGATTTGAGGAAAAACTCGAGAGCTTTCCCTTGGATTTCTGTGTCAGTTTATGCTAAACATTATGAAGTTAGAAGAGTATAAGAACAGTGCAGAAGAAGAGTTACACAAAGCTCTGTCCGTTCACCAGTCTTAAGATGGACAGTCAGGCAAGCTAAGGACAGGTTCAACATTCAAAAAAAGACACGACAGAGGTGAAAATGCTGAAAAAGATACAGGAAATTTAAAGAAGATTCGTGAATTTCAAAATAGCACTGGAAAATAAACTTCTTCAATTACAGAACAATTGCCTCCTTATTTTCCCTCCTTCTCAACACAACTTCTGTATTTGTTGTTCCTAATTCTTCTGGAAAACATTCTCCTAGACCAGAAAGATGGAGGGCACAAACTGCAAAGTTCTGATACGATTAACCCAAAGGAAAGCCCATCAATCAAAATGACAACAAAAACCCTTTCCTAATAGAATTGGCTGAAGTGGAACACCGTGTTCTTCCTCCACGTTGTTCTATTTTAAAATATGACATTTTAAGGCCAACGGTACCCTGGATCACAAGAGGAGTGGTCAGCAGGGCGAGGGCAGCGATCGCCTCCCATTGCTCTGCCCTCCTGAGACCCCATCTGGAGCACTGCAAGCAGGCACAAGAAAGATGCGGAGACGTTGGAGCAGGACCAGAGGAAAGCAGTGAAGATGGATGGTCAGAGGGCTGGGGCAGCTCTGCTATGGAGAAAGGCTTTAGGAGCTGTGCTCCTTCCACCCACAAACGCCCTGCTTTAGCTGTCAGCATCCCGTAAGGACGCCCGGCTCCGCGGAAGGAGGGGCCGCACCTCTGTCGATGTTCTCATTCAGATGGCAGTTCTTCTTCGTGTCCGCCCCGATCCGACGGTCGTTCTCATCGATGAGGATGCACATCTCGGCCAGCAGCTGCACCTGCTGCTCGTCCAGGTGCTCCGTGCTCACCTCGGGCATCGTGACGGCCGCGCGGGCTCTGCTGAGGGCAGGGAGGAAGACGAGAGCGATGCGGGGCTGCGAGATTCCGTGTCACCGGGCCGCCGGACTCCTCTCGCCCCTGGGAGCACCGGCCGAGCTGTCCCTCGCAGGCCGCCGCGCACGGCCCCGGCCCGCAGCCCTACCCCACCTCACCTCACGGCCGGCTCTGAACGCAGACGTGCGGCTGGCGGCGGCGCTTCGCGGTGACCCCGCGCGCTGAGGCGGCAGCACCGCCCCCGAAGGACGGCGGGCCCGCGGCGACCCGCGGCAACGGCCCGGCGCACCACGCGCCACATCGCCGTCACCCCGCCGCCGCCAATAGCGGAGCGCCCGGGCGCTGACGTCACCGGATCGCCCGATCGCCCCACCGCGCTGCGGGACCGCCGGGAGGAGGGGCTTTCGCTCACTGCGGAGTAAGGCGCTGAGCACAGCCAATGGCGACACGGCTGGGTGGAGGCGCTAGCCAATAAGAACAGGGAATAGCGGAGAGATAGCCAATAAGAGCGAGGAAACCTCCGGCCAGAGCCAGCCCAGCGGGGAGGAGCCGCGGTCTGACAGGAAAGGCAGGGGGCTGTGGCGTGTGAGGTGGTGCTTTGTCTTGCATTGTTTGTCCTGAGCGAGTGGAGGTGGGACGCGTGGTGGTACCGTAAACATCCCTCGCCCTGTACCTCACTTGCTGGTTTCATTGCTCCAGAGGAAGATAGATCACAGAATCACAGAATGGCCTGGGTTGAAAAGGACCACAATGATCATCAGTTCCAACCCCCTGCTGTGTGCAGGTCGCCAACCAGCAGACCAGGCTGCCCAGAGCCACATGCAGCCTGGCCTCGAATGCCTGCAGGGATGGGGCATCCACAGCCTCCTTGGGCAACCTGTTCCAGTGTGTCACCGCCCTCTAAGTGAAAAACTTCCTCCTAATCTCTAACCTAACCCCCCCCATCTCAGTTTAAAACCATTCCCCCTTGTCCTATCACTGCCCACCCTCGTAAACAGCCATTCCCCCTCCTGTTTATATGCTCCCTTCAAGTATTGGAAGTGAGGTCTCCCTGCAGGCTTCTGTTCTCCAAGCTAAACAATCCCAGTTCCCTCAACCTTTCCTTAGATCTGTCAGATTTGCAAGTCTCCCTTCCTTTTATTAATGTAACCATACATTAGCTATACAAATCTGTCTAAAATAGTCTAACTGCCGAGGACATCCAGCATCACATACAGAGACAGCCTAGTTGACAGCACATTTTCCTGAGAATGAAGCTGTGTAGGCAAAGAAGCTTCTGCCCCAAAGCCTATAGGCTCTGTCTGTGAGTGAGGCAGAGCTGACGCTCAGCACATTTGCTCAGGAATGCTGCTCTCTGCCCTGCAGCAGCGCTGTGCCCATCGCAGAGGCTGAGCATGGTGCGTGCAGGTTACAGCCTGCTGCAGTGGGGATGTAAGGAGCACCTCACTGTCAGCAGCAGTTTATAGAAGACTGTTATGGTGTTGGTCAAGCACTGAAATTGCCCAACTCATTGATTTTTTCAGGGACAGAGAAAAGAAAGAAACACCTTTTCTGGACAGGAATCAAGCACAGGCAAGATGTCAAGGTGAACTGCTCAGATCAGGTCATTCTACACGTGTAGATACACACAGTGAGTATTCAGGCTATGCAATGGAGGCACACCAGAAGTGTTCCTACAGTATGAGGTCGAGATTTCTTCCCTAGTAATGAAGCATTTTAGAACCTGACTGTCTTTAGCTCTGGGCAGAGAAGCAAAGTATTTCACCTGTACTGATGTTTGTGAGCAACATGTCCCAGTTCCCAGTGGATAATAAGAGATAAACGAGCAGCCACAAAGGACAGCAGAGTCAAAACAAACCCTTATCACAAAACAGACAAGTGAGAGATCTCCCAAGCTTTTCACTAAAGGCACTTTCAGGGTCAGGTGTTTGATGTCATCTGTATCATCTTTCATCTCACTCACTCCCCCTCCTCCAGCTTTCAAACAAGCTATTTGTGTTGAAAATAAAACATCTTAGCTTTTGTAATGCTGTACACTACCTTGAAACCTCAGAAGTTTTGCTCCACCCTGCATAAACAGAAACATGCATTAAATGACACGTATATCTCTTTAAGACTTCATTTAATTTATGCGTTTCTTGAAGTCTGCTGATTGTTTTCAAACACTATACCAAGAAGGAAAACAAAGAAAGCAGTTTCTTTTCACTGCTGGGAAAGTCTCTCATTTCACCTGAAAATCCAAACAGCTTCAAATCACTGATTGAATTTTACTGTCTGCTCAGTTAAAGGGAAATGCAAATCCAACAAACTGGAGCAGAACATCTTAATTATCCAGTAAGTTAAACTAGAAGGCAGCAAACTACAGGATAAATAAATGCAGAGTATCATGGCATTGGACTTCAATCTACAACACGCAGACTTGTGGAATAAACCTATCCTCAGTTCTACACTTGCCAAAGAAAATATATTGTTTCTCCATTCTTCACATCCAGTCTGCCTTTTTTTTTTTAAGCTTCCTGCTCACTTGTTCTAAAGCTTAAGACTGCCAGTTTGCTCTTTTTAGCAACAGAGCTACCCAGCTCCTGATCTCCCTGAGGAATCCTTCTAGAAGTCTGCTTCTGGCCCAGAGTCATAGCTCTTCAGGAAATATTTGTCTGAAGGACGCAGAGCCAACACGAGCCTGGACTTCATCAGTTCTGGCAGGTAGTACCTCCCTGTCCTAAACAATCTGCAGTTTGCTTGGCCCTTCATTCTTAGAACACCTTTTTCAGGAGAGTGCATTGCTTTTAGCTTGCTTCAGAGTATAGACAGCTGTGATGGAAAATGTTATGATGGAGAGCTTCTGGATGCTCCTGCACAGCATGAAGTGATGATAAATAATATAGTACAGTGCATTTAGCCAGGAGTTATTAAGAAGTTTCTTGCATGAAAGAAGAAATGATCTCCTACAGTGCTTTTCTCCTCTAAATCTGTTTTTCTTTCTTTTAGTTTGAGCACTAGATAGGTGGTCCTGCCTTTTCTTGCTACTTTTGCAGGCTTGGAATTTTGTTTTGTTTTGTTTTGGAGCTTGAATGTTCTGTTCTTTTGCTAGTTTCCTAAACCTTGTATCATGCGTTCTCAATCTAGCTATGAGTAAAGAAGTAGAGCTGCAGATGGTCTGGAAGGTGATATCCAGGAAAAACAAAACAAAACAAAACAAAACAAAAAAACCCCTGACTTTTAGCACTATACTAATGTTTATTTAAATACAAAACAACAAAAACCCACATAAACAAAACAGCAGCAAAACAAAACCCTCACTTAACTCTTGATAAACTTCATGCTGACTAATCCTGCCCCATATTTCTCTAGGCTCCTAGGTAGTTATATAAATGTCCTTTTTAAAAATCAAGTAGTTTGTGAAAAGCAGTTTGGTCTGCACTTGCTGCTGTAGACTAAACAGTGCCTTTCTACCCTTGGAATGCTTATCAGAACCAAAAGGGTCACAGGGCTGCTGTGATAGCAGTGCCACTTGCCACACATTTCCATATGAGGCCTGCTGGTATTCAGGTGAGAGTTGGCCCTTATCGAGGAAAAAATCATTTAATCATCATTTCCTTACTGCGGTATTTCACATTGCTTCTTCAGGAAAGAAATGGTGCTATCTTTATTGCCCCCTGCTGTTAGAGAGCGAGCAAAGGAGGGAGTGTTGCAGAGAGGGTGTTACTGCAGGGAAATCTTGGATGTGGATTTCTGGACATATTTTCCCCTGTTTCTTCCTCCATAAAAATGTAATGATACAGTAGTATTGTATTAGGATGATGTGATTTTGGTAGGGATAAGGCTTAAGCATTTAGGTGGGGATTGAATCACTGGGAACTTCAGCTGTGATTTGGATAACATGGCTGAAATAACTGCAATTGCACTGATTATAGAGAGAATTCGAAGTGGTCAACAGTAGCATCTGGTTGTGTTCCACCCCAGACAGCTCTGTTTCACCTCCTGTCCATCTTCTTCTGCCAGTGCTGTCTCCCTCTGCTTGAAGCTGTTTAGATGCCAGTATGTAGCTAAACCACATGGATTTTGTCTGCGTCGATACAGTTAAGACATGAGCTCACAAAAGGAGGTAGAAAGGAAAAAAGAATACAAAAGAGATCGGCTGGCACAGTTGTAGCTGGGAAGGACATGAAAAGAAAATGTGCTAATCATTTTAGCCCTTGCAATAAGGCGCATGTTCTCTGGCCTTTCCACGGACCTCTTCTGAGGCTGCAGGCATCTGAGGGAGGAGAGGAAATAATTAGGCAGCGGCCTCTTTTGACTTTCATCATCTGCCGCAATGAATAGGAATGTGAGGTGGAGGCCTCTGAGCGTTAATCACCAAAGGAACAAATCCCATTTCAATTATGGGTTGTACGCTTCAAAGCCAGCAGCCTGCTCGCAGAACGCAGCACTCGCCCTTGATTTACTGTTCCTGCCACACTGCAGACAAACGAGAGCTACGGATCTGGCATTTCCCTGCCGAAAACCAAGGCATCCCAGCAGTGCTTTATGCACGTTTCCCCAGAGGCGCTGGGGCAGCCGTTTGCCCCCGCTCCGCTCAGGGGAGAGAGGCAGCGGGCGGGACTCGGGCCGACACAACTGCACACCGCGTCAGCCCCACACGGGCCGCTCCGACCCGCTCGGCGCGGCGCTGACGGAGGGGCGGGGCGGGCCCGGTCTCCATGGCGCCGGGGCGGCGAGTGGGAGCCGCGCGTTGCTTCCGCCCACCGCCGGATGTCGCCGCGAGGGCCGCTCAGCCGACGGGCGCGTCGTTGTCGGAGCGCGGCGCCGGGCTGCTCGCCGCCGCCGTTCCCCTCCCTTCCTCGCCTTCCTCCTCCCCCCCCCGCCGCCGCCCGCAGCCCTGCCCCTTCCCGCCCGCCCGCCGGGGCTGACAGGTGAGTGCGGGGCCGCGCCGCCCCCTCCCCTCTGCCTCGGCGGGGCGCGGACCCTCCGCCATCTTCCCGCCCGCCGCGACCCCCGCGGCCGGCAGCGGTTTCCCGAGGGCTGCGGGCGGGCGGGCGGGCGGGCGGGCTGGGAGCCGGGCTGGGCCCGGGGCCGTTACCTGCGTGTTGCTGCCGACGCGGTCCCGTGAGGTGACCTGCGCGGCCATCCCTAAAAGAGGGAGCTACCCTGTTATTATTTGTGTAACCGCTAAGCCTCAGGCTGTAGGATCATCCGGTCCTGCAGCAATCGAAGATGGGGATGCCTGCTTAGGAGGCTGTGAACTTTGTGGGTGTACTGCTGTGTGT